TATTGAATGAATTAAAGAGACTAAAAATGGAAAAGAAGGACTAGGAACTTAAACTTGAAGTTTGTGAAATCGAAAGAGATGTGCTTTAAGATGAGGTTCATGAATTGCGAATGCAACTTCATGGCATGGGCAAATCCACCAGTCACAGTTTTTTCAAGTCTAACCAGACGACTTACAAGTCAACTGGAAAAGGACCGGTTAGAACTTATTCCACAAGTACTAACACAAGTGGGAGATCGAAAACTAGATCAACCCTTGTGTATCATTACTGTAACAAGGTTGGACATAAATATTACTTTTGTAGATTTCGTAAATCTAATGTTTCAGGATAGATTTGGAAACCCAAAAACAATCCCGATTCCAGTAGAGCTAACCAACAAGGACCCAAACAAGCTTGGGTACCTAAAAGAAAGTGATAATTTATTTTGCAGGAACACGACGGAAAGAGTCGCAAAGGAAAATAGTATTTAGACATTGCGTGTTCCAGTCACATGACGGATGACAATAATCTGTTCAAAGAAGTCACAAAAATAAATGGAGAAAATGTCAAATTTGATAATGATTCAAAATGAAAGATACTTGTTAGCATCTTAGTTCCATTAGGCAATAATTGCGATATTACAGAGGTATATCTTGTAGATGAACTCAATTACTATCTCTTAAGTATAAGTCAGCTACATGATTCGAGGTACGAAGTTAAATTCAAGAAAATATGTCATTGAAGATGTGGCCGGTAAAATCATTCTTCCAGGTAAAAGGTATGGAATGTTTACATTCTTGATGGCATTGAAAATCTAGATAGTCATATTTGTTTAGCATCCATATCTGATAATCCATGGCTTTGGCATAAAAAACATGGTCATGCAAGCATGCATCTAATTGAAAAACTCTTCAAGCACGATTTAGTTATTGGTCTTCCCAAACTCAATTTTCTAGAAATCATGTATGTGATGCATGTCAGATTGGTAAACAAACTAGAAACTCTTTCAAAACCTAGGATATTGTGTCCACCACCAAGCCTTTATAGTTGCTTCACATGGACTTGTTTGGACCCACTAGAACTGTTAGCATTGGAGGTAAACGATATGATTTTGTTCTTGTTGATGACTACTCACGTTTTACATGAGTGATTTTCTTATCTCATAAAGATGAAGCATTGAAAAACTTTGAGATTTTCTGCAAAAGATTTGAAAGAGAAAAAAAGTATCTTTTCACAATCATTCAAAGTGATCATGGAGGAGAATTTGAAAGCAGAGCATTTGAAGAATTCTGCAACGATCAGAGTTATACTCACAATTTCTCAGCCCCAAGATCACCCCAACAGAATGGGGTAGTTGAGCGCAAGAACAGAACTCTATAAGATATGGCCAGAACAATGATATTTTTTTATTTTTTTTAAATAATGGCTAATATATAAATAAAATCTCAAAAATGGGTCCAATACTTACAAGATGTCCAAACCAAAGTAGAAGTTGCATGAAGCTACTAGCTATTAAAAAAGATAAAAAAGCTAAAATCTAATGAACTAACTATTACAACATGATAAGTTGAATGCTTCCTTCTCCTATTAGTGTATGCGAATCCAATTGGCATTGGCAAATACCAAGCAGCACCTATCAAGCTCTCACCAGGCGCAAGGGTATATTGTCCATAGGCTAAAATGAATTCCAAACATCTCCACCGCAGAGTTGAAGTCCGCATCGTCCTCTAAGTGTCGCTACTATATGATCTCCATATGCATTGGACTAATTTTGTTCAAGTATTAATCATGTGCTCACTCATCAAGATTAATGTGTAGAAGAG